ACCATTATACCCTGATTTCCCATTTTCAATGGGTTCAGGGTATAAAAAAACAAAATATGTTAATTAATTAGAAAGTTGCAGAAAATATATATATTAAGTTAAAGCATAAAACTTAATTTAAAAGCATAAAAATCTATATAAATTTGATAATTTGATATCTAATAGTCCTCCGCCTACTCCTAGTCTATCTCTTTATGCTCTCTATCTCTCTCTCTCGACGCATATACTTAATTAAATTTGCCGCAACTCCAAGATCTCTCCGCTTAGTTTAAGCTTCATTTCAGAATGGCAGAACGAAATAAAAATCCAATAAAGTTATATAAAATCCAGTGTTGATATGAATGAAAGTTTAGAAAGTCTTGCTTGAAATTTCTTAGGATTTTCGATGACTTTCACTGTTTTCTTGCGGAGCCACAAAGCTTTGGCTGCCATTGCAGTTGCTGCAGATGTTTTATGCAAATGCAGACGCGTTTTTGGCTTAACATCGTGAACTTTGCATTGCCATTGTCGTTTTCGGCAAGTTTTGTGCCAGATTTCGCGCTTTGCCGTGCGATTGCGGCAATGCCAGCGATAACAACAATAATAACAACAAACGGGCCAACAACAACAACAGCAACAATGGAAAAGTCGAGGACGCGTACTTATTTCGCTGGTTGCTTAATTAAAATGCGCAGTCGGTGCGAGCGCTTCATTTGGCTCGCTTAATCGCCCAGCCACAGAGAGATTCGCATCAGTCGCCCAAGCCAACCGCCCCTCCACCCCTCCACCCGTCCGCCCGCCTGTGCCACCCAGAGGCCTCGCCCACCGTTCGTTTGCATGTAAAGTGTCAAGTTTTTTATTATAATTTGCATATTTTTCGCCAGCGCGTTAACTTTTCGCCTACTCACCACGTGCCACGCCCCCATGCCTGAGCCATGTAAATGACAACAATAAGCATTATGGCATGCGCCTGAATAGTTACAAGGACCTAGGACCTAGGATCTAGGACTAGCCAGCCAGCCAGCCGGCCTAGCACTCTTCGACTATATCTGCCTAGATACACACACACACTGACACACACACACACACACAGAGCATGTAGATTTCAAGTTATTTTCAAGTTTAATTTTTTGACTTTGTTGTGTTCGGGGTTTTTGTTTTCGCTTCGGACACCCCAACGCCCAGCTGCTTGAGACAGAGCCCAGCATCGCGGCAGCCGAACTTCAGGGTCTTCAGGATCCGGAGCCGCTGAGCCGCGGCGCATAATCACGCGAAATCTGAAAACGTGTCTTGTATAGTAATGAGCACTGATTATAACTTGAAATTGTGTGTGAAAGTACAGTTGTGTGCGCAAGTTATGCCACGTGGCATACTACAAAAAAAGAGAAACGCAGAAAGTTCGCCGCATTCTCAACTTTTGACGCACCAAAACGAAACGAAACGAAAACAAAGCCACATTTTTACGAAATTTGACTTTTCATAATGCATAAGAGTTAAGCTTGGTCTTATCTGCAAGGCGTTACTCTGTTGTTTTTGTTTTCTTTGTACGAAAATATTGCGAGAATTTGTGTAAAATCAACAACTCTTAGGTGAGGTTTATAAGAGAATTCGACGAATTATGAAGTATTTTTGTAAATGTTCTGATTAAATACAAATTTAGCAGGATTTTTATATGAGCAGATATACAGATATCCGATTTATGTCTTGCATTACCGAATTTGGGATGGCTTTAGCTTCTTTTTTAATGATAAATGCCTCAAGCATATTAATTATAATCCCATATCTTAAGTCCGATATTTTGAAAGAGTTATATAAACCTTACTTGATACTTACTTACTATATAACGGCTATATACTAACGGAAGTACTTATTATTATTAAAAATGATTCCCAAATAAAAATTACTCCGAATAAGAAGAAGAGTAGAAAATTATACTTAGTATTATAAATACGATTTGACAATAATGTGAAAATAAATATATGGCGAATAAAACTATTTGATTATTATATAATCTATATTTTTTGCATAATAATTATTTTATTTATATTTATATTTATCCATTCAGACTGAGAAGTATTTAACTTATACTAATTAACTTATACTTCTAAATAGCTTAAAACCAAGGGAATTTAAGGAATATTTAACTTAAAACTAATTAAATTAATCACACAGCTGTTGTAATAATCAAAACCAAAGGGAACATTTATTCATAAGGATAATATAATATACAAGCATATATCTTATATTAATAAGAGGAGATAAATAGATTATTAATATTATAGGATAAGTAAATATATTTAAGTTTTAGTCAAACCAATATAAAATTTTATTTTATATAAGGACAAAAGAGTTCAAATATGCTTTCATTATGACATAAAAATTCCATATATTTAATAATAATAAATAACACTACCATAAATTGTATTTATTTTGTGCAATCAACAGGAAAAGTTTATATTTTATAAATGGAATATATATACACAATCAACTTTAAATGGAATACAACTCAAAGCTCAGATGAAGACTTTATTAAGCATTGGCGTATTTTATTTCGCGGCATGCTTTTGTAGCCCACTGTAGATGGGCTTCTGTCACACCTTGTAATGCTATTTGATGTGTATTTAAACTTAAAATGATGTCTTCTTAATCAACTATCAAGTCAGAGTCCAGGCATGCGGCCGACGCGTCGATGAGTTTTTCCACAGTTCCTCCATCCGCTCCGCCCACTCCGCCCTGCTGTTATGGCGCCGAGAGCGTCGTGTATTGTGCCAACATGCATGCCACGTTCGCCCACCGAACGTCGAACGTGCCAGGCCAGCCTGAAGCGTGTGTGTGTGTGTGTGCGTGTGTGTGTTGTGAGTGTTAAGAGCCTGAAGGATATTATATAATGTGAAGTAATTTGAATATGAAGTGTGTGTGTGGCAGGGTACGAGGCTTATAAGTCTTATACGTGTGTCATGTGCTGCCTTTCGATATTCCTTTGGCTTCCCCTCTTTTTGTCTTTTGTCTTGGAAACATCAAAAACTGTCACCCATACAGCTGTAAGTCTGTGTGGGTCTGTGTGCGTGTGATGGCGGATTAATGAGATTTTCTTTTATGGATTTATGATGATTATTTCTATTATTAGTTAAGAGCGTGACAGTCGCAAGTCGACAGTCAATTTTCGTAGCGGCCATTTTGATGGCATTTTAAAGTAATCCATTGATGTATGACCAGTCTGCGTGGCTGCTATTCCTGCTACAGTGGCTGCTACTCCTGCTACTCCTACTGCTGCTGCTGCTGCTGCGCCCAAGAGCTTTGCCAGTTTCTCATTTTTCAGCCGCACTAAATCACAAAAATTGCACAACCCGCGCACCATTAGCCCTTGCTTATTTATGGCAACGCGAAATTCAATGACAATTCAATATATTTTACATGCTCGGCTCTCTGTGAAAGTTAAAAAAATAGAACAACAACAACGGAATACTGAATGGTATTTGTCTATCTAGTGGCCAACGGTCAAGTATTATACCCTGCAATCTAATTGATAGAGTACCCAACTATCAGTCATCTATAATCATGTATTCTTTATGGCAATTATAGTGATTATTTGTATGAATCTATGTATTGTTATACCATTAAAAAATGTTTAAAATTGTAATAAATATTTTAATTAATTTGCATGTTGTTATTATCAATAATAATATCCATATAAAAATTTTCAGTTGCATAATATTATTAATAAGTCATATTTTATTATATGTGCTTCGATTTACGATAGGGCATGTCCTAGTTCATCACTTTCAGCCGCCAGCATTTTCTTGATGGTGATTTTTATTTTTATTTTTATTTTTTGTGGTCGCCCACCATTTGGTTTGGCCCGAAAACAAATTCCGCCATCGTCGCACACAATAAACCATTACAGACGATTAATTTCATTATCCGCGGGTATCGAAATCAGAGGAAAAAGAGAGAGAGATTCGATTTATGCCTGTGGCCACAGCAGCAACAGCTCCAAATGCAATTGTCATAATTTTCTTCTTCTTTCATTTTTATATATTTTTTTATGTCCAGAATTGTTTGCTAGTCTGCCATCAATTGCACGCATCAGAAGTTTACGCAGATTTTTGAGTAGATTTCTCTTCATGATATTTGATTATATTAAGAGAATTTGGATTCGGACAGCTGCTTTGCTAATATTGTCTCAGACAAGCGGGGGGATTTTGTTAAAAGTGATTAACAAAGTTTAGAATTTAGAAATTGTTTAATAGGTATGCTAAAATTTAGAAACTTAAAAAAACCAACAACAAATTTGAATTAAGAATTTAGAATGAAAATAATGAGTTTTTAGAATATATTATTTATTATATATTTTATTTTATTTTATATGAGAAAGCCAAATTATATCTTTAAATTATCTTTATTTTATCTTTAATTTATCTCTTTGCATTTATAACGTAAAAAATCTGTTTTATATTATATATATTTGTTTTAATTTTTATATTTTACTGAAATCTATGAAACCCCCAAATTAAATCTTTAAATTAATAATTTAAGCACACAACAAACAGCTCAAATCTTCATCTAAATTAACCCAAGAAATCTTTTTTAATATTTTTTTTATTATTGTTATTTATTATTTTTGTTTATTATATTTCTATTTACTTTCACTCAAGATTATTTTGGTCCCTCTTT